AATCAGGTGTGTTTGAGCAGAGAAAAAAGTAAAACATGCAGGGCTGCGGCCCTCGAGGACCAGGTTTGCTCACCCCTGCTCTAGGGCTAAGTGAATTTCAGATTTATTGAGTGTGGCTCTATGCACATCACGCAGAGGGATCAWTGGTTAAAACTTTAAATGATAAAATATCTCAGGCTGCAGGAGAAGAAAAAGCATATTTATATCAGGGCTAATAACAGAGCAGCAGTGGAGGGATGACACATGTCAGCCTCCACATYGTGGTGAAAAGCAATGCTGAGCACGGCGTTTTTGACTGTTAATGGCAGATCGTCTGGCAGAAGTTTAAAAGAAAAGATGATCATAAAAATGAAAATATTCCATGATTTGCTTTTTGCAAGTAGATGTGATAAAAAGCTGAAGTGAACACATTACCTCTCAAAAGCTGGCCAAGACATCTCCTCACTGAGCTCAGAGCCCTCACTGCTCCCTGCACACAGACACACAAACCATCAGAAAACCGTCCCAGAACACACAAACTGTGCCTCGTGTTTATGAGAAAAGATTCTTTAGGTTTACCAAGTGAAATGCCACTGGAGAGAGTGGAGCTCTCTGCCTGTCCTCTGGTGGGACTGTGGCTCTCCAGCACACTGTCATCCAGCAGGTGACGAGAACCAGCGTTGGGAAATGTGGCACTTTTAAACTCTACTGTATTCATCTTATGGATAAAACTGAGGAGAAACAAACAGTAGTGTCAGGATTTTAACTCTAAAACTGTACAATTATTACGGTTTCTTAATAAACATATGGAGAGTTATTGCTTCATGCTTAAAGGGCTCCATGATTAGTTGTAACATTAGCCTTTATTTAATAAACTATGATGCTGTACAGTGAAAAAATGGGGTTAGGAAGCCAAAATTTATATGAGCATGAATTATAAATTCCCAACTATTATCACATTAAATGAGGTAACAATAGCATTAACAACTAATATTTTAGAAAAATTACAARACAGCATGTCCACTTATATTCAGACAGATGTCTTGTATGTACAACAGCTTTACAAAATCAAGTAAAGACTAATTTCATCACAGAAACTTGACTGAGGGCTCAAATTAAAGATAAGAACCACAGGAATCATATTCTACCATCCATATTACTCTTAGTATAATTAAGATACATAAAATTATCAATAATCAGCATTATAATTCACAGTTTTCATCCTGCGGCGAGGACAGCTCCATCCAACACAGCCAAAACACAACAAAATCAGCATAAATCCAGTCTTTTGTCAAAGCATCAACTCCCACACAGCTTATAAAACACTTGCAGCATAATAAAAAGGCTTACCACTTACTTTTTGAAGAATAAATTGTCCAAAATATGTATCTGTTACCCAAGTTGGCCGCCGAGCCAGAGCAAACCTCCTCACTTTGTAAGACATTTTTTCATCACCAAAATCACTCTTTTTTATTTGAAGCACTCAAGAGTCTTTATAAGACATATATTTCCTTGTTTCAAAAGGGTTTAGTAAAAAAAAAAACACACCAAAAAAACGTGTTTTACTTGTTTTCTTCTTTTCGCCACTAGGGGGCCAATCGGTACAAAATCCAGCAGAAGAATCCAGAAAGTTCTATTTTTTAAAAAACGTTTCACTGTCGAATCCTTGAGGTTAACATATCGACGTATCTGGAATTTGATTGGCTACGTCTGTGCCGATTTGATTTGTCGATCCTGCAGCCAATCAAATCCATTGTCCGACCTGTGGGACACGTGGGGTTAGCTGACTGTAAATGGCTGTATTGAAGCCATATACCAGCCCACTTGGTTAAAAAGGGTGTCAAGCTAAAGGTAAGAACCAGAGTAAGTTGTCTGACATCCTGGTTTTCAAAATAAAAGCCCCCGGTAGTGTCTGGAAACGTTTAATGGAAGAAACCGCACTATGTTGTTCCACCGGTGGAACAACAACCGCTAAGGGG